TCACACAAACATGAAAGCTAAGGGTTCGTCGACGGCCTGCATCATTGCCCTTAAAAGTGAGGTGTGTTGTCCTCATGTCTATTTACACCCAGCTGTTTTTTTTTTTTAATTAATATTGCAATTGATGAAGTGTTCTGGCAGGTACACCTTACTGAATATTGTTAACACAATTTAATGAGCTCCACTAGATGTCTATAATGTTACTGTTTTGAGTCAGAATCAATGGTTTAATCTTCAATGCACTTGTATTTCTTCCTTCTTTTTTTATTGAAGAATGAATTCCATTAGTCAAACTAGTATAACGAAGATGCTAGTCCAGATAACATGAAGTTTTCGAAAAGTGGGTAGTATTTTTGAAGTTCAAGGTTTTTAATTTCTGCTATGGTATTGCAAATTTCAGAACGTTTCTGAAAACTATAATCCTTGTAACACGATAAAATCACTCAATTCAATATCTAGTAGATAAAAAGCAATGGCCTTCCTTGTTTCATGAAATCATCATGAACAAAGTGTGTCGACCTTCCAATCACTTTTTGTGGATTGGAATGCACAAGCAATATTTTACTGTTAGTACATCCTTCTTTGAATGGTCAATTTATATGAAGATTACTGGACTTGCCTTTTATTTTTCAGTGCCTGCATTTAATTGTGTTTTGTTTATTAAGTGCTTCTAAAAAGGTTGCTTTATTAAGTATGCACCGAGTGAAAGTGACTGTTTAAGACTATCTGGTCTTATATGGACTTTTTCTTGCCACAGGGATTACATGCCATTAATCTGGGAGACAGTGGATTCATGGTGGTTAGAGATGGATGTACTGTCTTTGAGTCCCCAGTGCAGCAGCATGGCTTCAATTTTACATATCAACTGGAAACTGGCAATGGAGGTGATCTACCTAGCTCTGGCCAGGTCAGTTAATGCCCCCCACTCCTTTTTTCCCCTCTTTTTGTGTGTGGATGTTTGCATAAGCTTTTTACAATATTGTAGCATTGTTTCATATGCATAACGCATGTCTACATTTTTGCAATACAAAGAATTCTTGCCTTGGTTTTGCTATTGTCTTTTTATCTAAATTGATCTTATATATTGTTTGCTCATATGCTGCCACATTACAAACTCCTATAATAGCTAAATCGATGATTTGAATCTAACACGTTGCTTGCTTGAATCTCTCTAATATGTCATCACATCTTCTCTTTTCTCTCTCGCACCTTTGAAGTCTAGGTCTCATTAAGAATGCAAATTAGTCAGTTAAGATTAGTCTAGTTTTGAGCTTTGGTGATTGCAATTTCTCAGTGCTAAAGTACGTGTTCCTAATGTGATTGACATGTGATGTAGCTAACTAGCTATGGCACTAGTCAATAGATGTCTTCTTCTTCTTTTTTTTTTTCCTTCTTTCCCAAAATTATTAGAATGATTTGACTTTACTTCAATGAGTAACTGTTGTGAAATTTGGAAAAAAAAAGAAAAGAAAAAGACTCCTCACTTGAGCAACCTTCTGGGATTGATGGCCTCAGGTTTTCACAATTCCTGTGGCTCCTGGTGATGTCATTATAGCTGGGACAGATGGATTATTTGACAACTTATATAACAACGAGGTTACTGCGGTTGTGGTACATGCTATAAGAACTGGCTTAGGGCCCGAAGCAACTGCTCAGAAGATTGCAGCTTTGGCTCGTCAACGAGCACTGGATACGAACCGGCAGACACCATTTTCAACTGCAGCTCAAGATGCTGGGTACCGCTATTATGGAGGCAAACTCGATGACATCACCGTCGTCGTGTCATATGTAACGAGCTCTGCCAATGTTTGATTCTGCTTTCTCCCACATGGCTACATTGTTTATTTACATGTTCTTATGTTCTTTGACTTTGCTAGCTTTGCCACTGAGTTTTGTATTTTTCACGAGAAATCATGTTAAGGAAGTTCTTTATAAAGGCCACCTATTCCTTTGAATACTCCAGTTTTGGGCTTTTAGAAACAGCTGGAAGATTGCTGTTGCATCCAGACGAAAAAATTGGCAAAAAATGAATCAAGGAGCAGGACAATTATACTTGCCTGTATAGCTGATCAACCCAGCCATGCCCATATTTTATCTTTAATATAAATTATGTTTTTGGATCTCATTTAATAATTTAAAATATTAAATTGAGATAATATTTTAATATAATATTAGAATTTTAATAATTAAATAGTTAGGAGTTGTTTTTGTTTTTTTCTTTTAAAGAGTTTTTATAGGATGTCCCTTAACCATTTAAATTCAATTTGGTGAGAACAATAATGGCTGAACTAGGAATAAGGTTAACTTTCTCAATTTTGCTAGGAATTAGGTCATCTGTCTCCATTTTGATGCAACTACCAAGCCTGCTAGTGAACTTGTATTGTTACCAATCATCATGGAAATTATAGAAACAGAAATGAAAAACTTGGATTTTTTTTTGAAAAATGATAGTTTCGTAAATTTGTTGGGAAAATGATATGAATTAAAAAAATATTTGAGAAATAACATGGTTTATTAAAATTATTAAGAATAACAGTTTTTTCTTTTACAAATTAATTAATTTTAACAAAAGTCAGATTAATAGTTAGAAAAAAAACATGATAAAACATGATAGGATAGGAAAAAAAAAGTTAGCGAGGATACATTAATAATTCATTTTAAACACCAAGATTGTTAAAAATAATTTTTTTAACATGATATAAAAAATATAAAATAAACTTAAATTATAAAACTATAAGTAAATTTTTTTAATTAATTATACATTAACAATTAAGTAATAAATAACAATATAATATAATTAAAATAAAAGTGAAATAAACAATATAAAAGTTCAAGCATCTTAAAATACATTGTTCAAATAAAAAATTTATAACTTAAAAATTAAATACAATATATTTATAAATTTTTATTAAATAAAAAATACAAATCTTAAACAAATAATATATTAATGTATAATATAAATTAAAACCAGTCTTATTGCCTTTAACTTGACTTCATCTTCATCATTATTTCTAAGAAGCTTAGAAGTAAATTAACTATGATGTACCCTTGATCTCATCTTGCATATGTCCTATTTATTTTGTGTTTTAAAAATATTTTAAAAAAAATTAATTTTTTTATTTTAAATTATTTTAATGTGTTGATATCAAAAATAATTTTTTTAAAATAAAAAAATATTATTTTAATACATTTCTAAGTAATTTTTTTTTTAAAAAAATAACTATAGCCGCACTACAAAATAGGCTTTTTGAGTGGATTTTGGCCTTATAGACTACATTTTGCAAAATCATAAACTTGGGTGCAAATTCATCATTTTTTATGATTTTGACCAACTTTTTTTATATTACATGAGGAAGTTTGATTTTATTGATTTTTAAATTTTTAATTTAAATTTTCATGTTAAATATATGTTGATTTATAAAATTATATAATTTTACAAGTTAATTTATAATTTTAATAATAATATTTAACATATTTGATATCGCTAAAAAAAATCTTGATGAAATGATTTTGATTATATTTTAAAAGACCACCTAACGATATTATGATTAACTCTAAATTAACCCTGGATAAAATTCCTAACCAATTACAATCTTGTTCGGTGGTTATCTAGGATGTAATTAGAATTATCTCGTCGAGATCATTCTAATAATATCGAGTGCGTTAAAAACAAATTCTCAATGTATTCCTAACTTCTCTCTTAGGAAATTAAATTTTAAATCTTATATTTTTATTATTAAATTTTTATAAAATTTGAAGTTGAGTTTTTGTAGTTATTAATTAACATGAAGAGATGAATTTTAAAACAGCATTAAGCATTAAAACCATCCTTTGTATTAAAACTATGCTATTATTGTAATATTTTTTTAATTAGTGTTATTTTTCTAAAACTTTATTAAAGTGTTAAATTGATAAAAACAAAAAAATTTCTATAAGCACCTTTTGGATTATCAACCACTGATAAAATTATCAACCACTAATAAGCTGTGGTGTCTATCTTACATGGGAAGAAAGAAACAAGCGGATATTTGACGGAAAGTATTTAAGGTTGATAGAGTTTTTAGGATATTTTAAATTTTATTCTACACAATATTTCATTTTCATGCTGTAGGCTACTCTCGACTAAATGTTGGTTGAGTTTATTTTGTTTTTGTTGTTGAGGTTGTAATTAATAGTTTTTATGTGTTTTAGTAGTTGTTGATGATTCTTTTATATTTTAGTTGTAAATTGCGTTAGTTGTTGAATTTTTTTATTAGTATTTTTTTTGATTGGTTATCTTTGATATCTACTAGATCTTTGATTTCTTAGCTAACCAATGTGATACTTTTTTTTTTTTTGAAGTAGTTGTTTTCATGTATTTTTAATAAATAAAACATATTTTCTATTGCCTTTGATTTTGTATATATGATTTGCAATTACCTAACCTATTTCATTTTGATTTATATATTTTTACATTTGATAAAAAAAAAGTTCTTTAACTCCCTGGCTCCAACCTAATACCTGGTTCGAGGAGTGCCCACCAAAATGCGGTTGGAGGAGTGCTACTATACTTTCAAGCATCTAACTACATTTTCAGTGCTGTTTTAGTTTTGCATATCATTCATTCTTTTACTATTTTAGCAGTTGACAGTGATCTCGATGATTGCTTTACTTTCGTTCTGCATATTCAAATATTTGATTTTCTGAACTCGTGCTATGAGCAAGTCTGCTGTTTGGTGCCTGTTTAAGGATCAATTGACAGTAGTTTCGATGATTGCTTTACTTTTGTTCTGCACATTCAAATATTTGATTTTCTGAACTCATGCTATGAGCAAGCCTGCTGTTTGGTGCCTGTTTAAGGATCAATTTATATAAAAATGATCAGAGTTCCTTTAACTTTTGACGGGAAAGTCTCGATCAATTAAGCAAATTAAACAAAAAAATCAAAGTCTCTGAACCTTTAAGCCAGTAGCAAGAACCATGAATTGCAATTCTCATCACATGAAGTTATGCATGCAAACTCGTGAAAAAACTCATCTCGTTACATGAAACACTAATGCCAAAAACTGAGATACAAAACGTGGATCTCACATCTTATTACAAGAGTGGTTAACAAGCATAAAAACAAGAGACTGCATATAAATGCTTTGAAAGTAGTCATATTTAGAGCTTCCACGGATTCCTTAAAGCTCTTCTTCCTTTCCCTTCATCACCTTTACGATCTTGATCTTCTTTTCTAGCTTCCACTTCTTGTTCCTCTGGTTGTTCCCCACCTCTTTCACATCTTTCCCTTTCCTTAGCCCTTTCTTCTTCTTTCCAGTGTCGCTTTTGCCTTTTTTCTTCTTGTCTCCTTGCCTCTTCATGCTCCATCCTGGGGGTCTCTTCTCGTTGTCTTTGCTTCTCTTGTCGCTTCTTTTTTTCTTCTCTTCTCTTAGCCTCTTCTTGCTGTTTTTCTTCCTCCTCTGCCTCTTCATGCTCCATCCTGGGGGTCTCTTCTCGTTGTCTTTGCTTCTCTTGTCCCTTCTTTTTTTCTTCTCTTCTCCTAGCCTCTTCTTGCTGCTGCTCCTCCTCTTCTTGCTGTTTTTCTTCCTCCTCTTCTCTTTTCCTAGCCTCCTCTTCCTCCCTTTCCCTCTCTTCCTCCTCTTCTCTTTTCCTAGCTTCTTCTTCTTCTTTCTTTCTTGCCTCCTCCCTCTTTCTCTCTTCCTCTGTCTTCCTAGCCTCCTCTTCCTGCTTTTCCTTTTCAAATTCTTCTTTCATTTTTTTCTCCTCTATCTCAGCACAAGAAGTGCAATCCAATATGAGCGCTTCTTCCTGAGCTTTTAAAAGCTGATCCATTGTGGTGTTAGTAACATTGAATGAAACAGCCAAGATGCCTCTATCCAATATTTGGAGGATTGAGCTCTTCCCAGTCAGAAATTGAGGATGATTTCTCTTTGTTGATGTGCTGAATCCCATGAAAACAAATGAATCATTGTTGAAGGAAATTTGAGCCATAGGATGGAACCTAGGCACTGCAAAAACATCCCCTTCCTTAACCTTAAACCTCATGTTTTTGCACTCTGATTCATTTGCTGTGCTATGACAAATCACCCGAACCATCCCTCGCCCGTGCAACACTATTGCTATCTCAGTAGCCATTGGATTCCAATGTGGCCCCATCATGGATCCCTGAAACGAAAACCATAAATGGAAATGCTAATGAAAACACTAGCTAGTAACTGCCAGCTTCGTTCTAAGCCATGCTATGAGAGCAAAGCTTAAGATTAATTTACATTCGAAGGCATTACCTTTGTCAAGTTCACCATGAATATTCCAATTTTGGAATCACTTAGTGATTTCAAGCTATGTTTGTCCACAGTCAGACTCCACCCATTACAATTCTCAAAATCTGGCTTAGCATCTAGAATGTTGAATGTCTTGGTTTCCTTGATTTTCTTATGTTTGTTTCCGATCAGGAAATCTAGCATTCGGTCTTCCGATTCCCAATATACTGATTTCTGATCCTTTGTTACTGCGTGCACCACTGCTGGTGGCTTCGTTGCACTGGTTAATTCCTCTAAAACTTCTTCAGGGACCTTGAGAAACCAATTTGCAGTGCATGTTTTAGTACATCTTTCAAGAAGTTCTAAATTTTGAGGCACAAAGCTCCGCACATAAAAGGGCTTGAAACTTGTTGTGAAATCAGTCTCAATTAGATAATGTTTTGTTTGTGGATCAAGCAGTGACTAATTCAATCAAATGTATAATATATATTTATTTTATCAGATAAATATTCTACTTCAGATTTAATTTATAGCACCTACCATAGCATAGTTATTAGGGCAAAACAATACTAATAAGTAGTAAATATAACACACATAAATGATGATGATATAAGAATGCTAATTAAGTTGACAAACTATTAGAAATAAGTCATCAATCATTATACCTTAAAAGCTTCTTGAAGGACTTTTCTATCAAATCCAAGGACCAGATCGCTGACGCTAGAGTATGCTCCAATTGATGGCTCCTACATTAATATTTGCAATGTCAGAAACAAAAACAGTAGACTGACTACTTATTACAGCTCTAAACAACTTCTCTTCAAAAAATTTCTCAAGGATTACCAGGTAATTACAAAATAATAAGAGGAAAGGAGAAAAGGGTCTCAAGAATCATGTACATATATGTCCTCATCTGTATTGGAAAAGATAGCATGGATCCTCATCTTCTGTCTTTCCGAGTCTAGGTTACTTCGAACAAAGAAAACTGAGCCTGCCTGCAGTCTATATACATCTCCTCTCCGTAGATTCATCCTCTTCATTTCTCTTCCATCGGTCCAACTCAACTTCCCATTCCCTGCATCCAAATGTAAGAACATAAAGCATACTGTTGAATATGGATCTTCTAGTGTAAGCAACATTGGCTAAGCTTAAGCACTTACCTGTGTGTACATAAAAGACCATGTCAGCATGGAGAAGTACAGGGAGCAACAAGGAGTTAGGCTCCAATGTGATGAACTGAATATGGTATGGCCCTTTTGTTCCACTTCTAATTTCAGCAGCTGAAATCTCTCCATATTCTGTCACCACCAGAGACCTCCTGTGTCCTTTCCTCACCAGATAAGGTCTCTCCCCAGCTGAAACATCCTCACGGAAGGCCTCTACATGAAGAGAGAAACAGAGTAGTAAACCCAAAAACAGGAGTGATAAAAGCGGCACCTTATGCAGCATTTTTACCAGAGGAAAGGAGAAATTAACGAGCTCAAGCTAGTGATTGAAATACAGGCATGATGATGATCTATATAAAGAGATGACGAGGAGCTACGTGTCATTCATGCGGACACGTAGATGTTCATGGCATCACGTGGCTGTTGCTTGGAAGAACTCTTCCCGCTAAAATACAAAGTGGTAAAGATCTAATTTGATCCTTTTTTCAGGGACGAGGTCCTGGTCTTGCTTCGAAAATAGTTTCGTTTCTTGAAAAGATAAGGCACAGTTTTCGGCAACAAGTGGTGGACTGGTTCGAGAACACTCAAGTTTAATTTCTTTTTGTTTTTTGGATCAAGGTGAGGGATGGACATAGACGGGCACGTTTCTTTCTTGATAGGGCCATTGTCTTAAGCTCTATTCCAGCTTGAACAATATAGGCTTACAATTGCTAGCTTAGAACTCTCATTCTTTGGACGAAACATGGTCACATGGGCTAAGAATAGGCCCTCAAGCTTTTGGGAAAATGGGCCCTAAGTAAAACAAATCCATTGCCTTTGTTCATTTCAAAAGCTTTCCTAATTAATTAAATACTATGATCATGTGAAATGTATAATGTAATGACAATAAAAGTTAGTCTTCTTACTAATGCAAACCCAATACAATTTATTTTATTCTTATAAAGTTATATTAAATTAAGATTAAAACAAAACAAAAAACCATGCCACACTTGGTTTGAAAAGCTAGTAAATTAATGAGACTCAAGCTATATATCTCCTTTCCAACCCTCTAATCAATTATATATCTGATCAAGAACTTCAAAACTAGGCAAAGAAGATTTTACACGCAAGGTGAACGTCGGCTTTCTTCCATATTGAAAAAGATTTAACAAGTTGACTTCCTACTGAGAGAGTTCTGTGATGTTCTCTAACCCTAGCTGACTGTGACGCTTGAGAATTCTTCTCCAAGTGGATGATAAATCTCATGAGTTGGTCATTTCATCATGAATTCAAGTGGCAAAAGAAACAGAGCTACCAAAAAACAACTTTCCCTGCAGACCACATAACACTGTGATTTTAACCAGACTGTGGGATTCTTCATGGTCCCCGGCGCCCATGATGATGGCAATGAAATTAAAGAAAGAAACCAGCATGGGCCACGTACAAAATGTTAAAGGAATCACGTGAAAACTTGAATAATTGTGGTCGTAAAGAAAACTAATTGAATCATATGGTATTTTTTCAAAGCAAAACCAACATATCCTAAGGATCCTACCCTTATTGTAAAAGGACTTGTTAAGGGTTGTTGCTTGTAAAATACAAGATAGAAGATCCGCCACTATCTTGCATGCCCGGTTTGAATGACCCTCCACTCCCACCTTTCTTTGCCTTTTTCTTTTTTAGTGATGTGTGTACAGACTATCTTTTTACGTGAATGATTATAAATTGGAATCTCAAACCCTAACTTTTGTGTTCTACAAGCTGCCCTTGCTAATTCCCTCTCTTTCTTCTATGCATCGCGTGTGTTCCGTGTACTTAAGAGCCTTAATACCTAAGTATTTGACTTGAACCTTCTCCCTAAATAAAATACTCTCAAGTATGAATCAATGTTAATCACGAGTTCATGCAGAATATTAGTTTTCTTCCAAGGATGCTAAAGAATGCTGCCTTGTATTGGTTAATTGTTTATATATATATATATATATATATATATATATATATTCTTTTTTTATATACCATGAAAACACTTCTAGACATTACACACTGATAAATAACGTCTCTCAAGAACCAAATAATTTAGAAAAATTCATCAACCCGAGATCTCTAATCAAACATTTATTTATATATAAATCAAGAGATGTAAATGATACTATTCAAATCAGAAATATTCTCTGCTAATAATTGACTACTTAGCACTTGTTTTAAAATTTCTCATGGAATCCTTTGGTTTTGTTGTATTGCATTTTCCAGAATAATATTGTCACTTTCATAGTACGTACGAAGAATATGTCTCGAACTTCACAAATATGAAAACAATTTAACTTCGCATGATTTGCTAAGTGCGAAAGGTTAATTAATTAATGTGTCGGGGAATTTAGTATTGGAGAGTTTTATATAAGAAATAAGATTACAATTTTTTATTGGGGAATTTAATTAAAAATAAAATAAACAATCTTTTATTTTTAATTCAATAATTAAAGAGATTTTTAAAAAATAATATAAATTATATTTTAAAATTTTAATTAATTAACAACTTAAGATTTTGAATTTAATTGATTTTTTAAATTTAATTTGAACAATTTATATTTTCTTTCAAATTAAACTATCTTAAAAACACATCATTTACTCGAATAAACTTCTTCGAATATTTATTTCAAAAATTGAACTCAAAAAACAAGGAAGAAAGCAAAACCACCCGCTAACTTTTGAGGCTTTTTGCTGTAATCTGCACTTTAATCATTTCATCTTTTGAATGACTAAAATTTTTGAAACCATATAATTCGAGTGAATTGCTCCTCTTATTATAACATCTGTAGAGTTTTGAAACTTGAACACTGCTTTTTATTAAAGAATTTCAAAGGAAAAAATCGAAAGAAAGAAATGAAAATCTTACAATATATTAGTTATGAATACATGGAAGAACTGGCAAAACGCACGTATAGAGTGAGGAAGCAACTAGCATTGGATCCCTTAAATGTTTCCATCAAAGAACAATAAAAATTAAGCAGAATTCTGATGAAGGAGACGCGTGATGAGCTTTGATTACGGCATGACTGCATGCATCACACACAAAGCTAAAATTTGAAATATCTTTTCGCATAGGTGGGCATGCAAATGCAAAGCTAGCCAAAAACCCTTTCTCTTTGTCCTTGAATGGTGGCTTCTTCCTTTCTAGTGTCTGTGGTACTGTTTTCATCATCAATCAATCAATCAACAAATCAAAGATAATACCACTAACCTAAACGAGAACATATTCTCTTCTTCTTTTTAGTTTCTTTTTCTCTTTCCATTCTTTCTTTCTCTTGGCCGCCAAAGCTATACAGATCGTACGTGGGCTTGGATTCTACTGCTAAACGCAGCTGTATGCAAGAAAGATCGATGAACCTCAAACCTTCGATGCATATATGTACATGCATATCCGACAGAAAGCCGCCAAGTGGGGTCCTACAAAGTCAGCCGTAGCCAATCAGATCGGGTAGGATGTCAAAAATTGGACCCCACTCGTGGGTCATGTCTTTCGTCAACAAGAATTCTATAAATTTTTGTGGTAACTTTTCTTCCCTACTCCTATAGTATGTAGTAGAATTAATCACTTAATCATGCACCCATAGCAGAGGGAGGAGTTAATAAACTGAAATATTTGTTAATAATAAGATTATTATTCGAATGGCTGCTTGAGTCAATGATAAGAAGTAAAAGACAAACATTTTGATTAACATGGTATGCATATTAACTACATGTAAGAATAGAAATTACAAAAAAAAAATCAACTTGATTGGAAGAAGAAGGAGAGTTGAAATAACTCATTTACAATAATTAATGGGAATTCTTGGTTGAATACCCTATTGTAAAATTGAACACCAGATGGCTAATTAACAAACGTACGTAGAGACACATTTTTTGGGAAATAAAAATAAAAACTGATATTGAAATTACAATGCAATTTTTGCGTGTGTGCTTACAATGAATCCCGTCTAAAACTATCATAATTTCACCCCAATCCGTCGAGAAAGTTATTGGATTTTATTAACCTGTTCATTGGCCAAATGAAATATAACCTATGCTTTCTATTTCCAAGAAGATGTGACGATGAGAGGGTGGTCGTGTTTGTTCTTATGACTTTTGTGGGGACAAATAAGTTAATGGAACATGGACGCTCACAATTGACCTCTTCGTCGTTTTGCAATTGAAATTATTGGCAGAGGTAGTTATGGTTAGTTTTTAAAATATTTTTTTATTTAAAAATATATTAAAATAATATTTTTTTATTTTAAAAAAATTATTTTTGATATTACTATATTAAAATATCTAAAAATACTAAAACATATTAATTTGAAGTAAAGAAAAAATAAATAAAATTTAATTTTTTTAAATACTTTTAAAACTGTCACACCAAACATTACGATGACCTTAAAAATAAATCATATGAAAAGAATGGATTAGATTTCTAGTATTTTGTCTTTTTATGAAAAAAAATTTGTTTAAAGAGTCACCCATTTAGTATTATAGTTACTAAAAACCTTGACTAGTCAGCATAAATTCTATAGTATGAGACTGATTATGTGAAAGGAAAGATATTATCATTCCTTAAACGTCTTGCCTGTGGTAGTCTACATTACTGGTTTTGTTTTAAATTACTTAAAATTTATTGGTGTATGCTATGATGATTCGCTTGTAATATTTCTGACTCTATTATTAGTGAATATTCAATCACGGATACTTTCAACATTGGCGTTGATAAATATTATATAGCTATAAAAACAAAATAAATTTAAATTAATATTTTTATTCCTGACTCTAACGTTGGTGAATAAAAAAATAAAATAAATTTATTTTTACGCATACATATATTTTTTTAATTTTTTATATAGCTAAATAAAATAAAATAAAATAAATTTAAATTAATATTTTTTATTCCTGACTCTGATATTAATGAATAAACCAATAAAATAAATTTATTTTTACGCATGCACATATTTTTTCATATAACTAAATAAAATAAAATAAAATAAAATAAAAATAAATTTAAATCGATATTTTTATTCCTCTGATATCAATGATTAAGGCTAAACCTAGCCAGCCTAGCCCGATCATTGGCTCGGCTGGGAACTGCTGCATAGTGTGAAGGTAATTAAAATGGATTGTGCTGGACGAACGATGTTGCCTCCTCTTGCTCTATTTTTTTCCTTTGCTTTCTTTATTTCTTGGTTTGCTTGTATTCGTTCACGCCGTGGTGTATCGGGGTGTAGTCAAAGATGATGGCACATCGTGCGGGATGAAGGATGCTACCTTCTCTTGCTCTATTTTTTTTTTGCTTCTCTCTTTTCTAGTTCCTTTCTTTGTTCCATGTGTTGCTCCAGTGTCTTCTCCCTTTTTCTTTTATGTTTTGGCTCCAATGTCTTCTCCCTTTTTCTTTTATGTTTTGGTTCTTCCTCCTTCTCTAAGGCCTTTCTTTGCTTTTATAAAGCCAGAGAAGGTCTTGTGTCCTTGCCTCTAGAAATGGCAGGAATTGTGGAGGCGAGAGGTCGTGGGCTTAAGAAATAGCATTATAGGTATAGTGACCGTGATCTACTGGATTTTCCCCTAGCCATGATTTGTTGGGTTTTTCTCTTTTTGAAACTATCTTCAGCAAATAGATGATGAACAATAGGATCCAAAAAGGCGTCATTTGGCATAGAAAATGATAAATTATAGTTTAGTTCTTGATATTTTGAAATGTATCAATTGAGTTTTTTAATCAATAAATTTTAATTTTGCCTCTGGATTAATCTCAATTAAATCCCTGAATTATAGTTCCATTTACACAACTATCCTGGGTTTCTAGATTATTCAATTTGGTCCTTAAACTTTAATTTCCTATAACTTTGCCTTGAATTAGCTCCAAACTTTGATATTTTTTAATTAAGCCCCTGATTTTTTTAAATTAATTAAATAAAAATTTAATTAAGTTTGTAAACTTATTAATTTTTCAATTAAGCTCTTGATTTCATTAATTAAATTAATCCAAATTTTAATTAAATCTTCAAACTTATTAATTCTTTAATTTTTAACCCACTGACTCTCAAATTTGATAATTCTATCTTTAAACCTTGGATTGGTGTTGTATAAATCTCATTCTCAAATATATTTTTATTTTTTATTCAAAAATTAAGTTATGATAAAAATACAAAAACAAATAGGGTTTACTATTTGAAAATCACTCTTTCTTATTTCATTTTTCAATTATATCCCTTTGTTATTCAATAAATAGCTTTAGTAGATTTTCCCCTTGGAATGTTATCAAGAATTAAAGGATCATTCAGTTGTCTTCACTTAAAAAAATTTCATGAAATTCCAAATTTTTTTTTTTACTTTGAGCACCTAAACCCTTAAAACTAAGCCCAAGTGTGTGAGCCTATAATTATGCCATGTGCTTGGATTTTTAATGTTTTTTAACTTTTTTTTAAATAAACAATACTTATTTATTACAGCAAATAAAACAAATGATGAATCATTTGAATATCATATTTTGAATACTATATTTTGAATACTATAAAAGTGGTTAAAAAATTAAGCAGTGTAATCTTTTATTCAAAAACCTGACTTCAACACATTTTTATTTAAAAAACACTCTAATAATCTCAAGAAATTAATTCTGCGACTCATAAAAAAAAACTTAAATAAGTTAAAAATACAAAAAAAAACATCTTTGAATCTTAATCCACCGCTAAAGGACATAAAACAAATTGGACAATATCCAAGCCCTATATTTTTGAAAAAAGCGTTGATACAATATTTTTTTTAAATGCCTTGCCAAATTTTTCATTTTTAACCCTTTATTTTTTATTACTCCCAACAACAAAACCGAATTCTTCTTTGCAAAACTAAAAACCAATTTAATGCATAGACTTTTTTTTGAAACTTCACAAAAAAAAATAACTGTTAAATTCAATCATTAATTGATATGAATTGATAAAATTTAAAAAATTCAATAACCAAATTAAAAAATTTAAGGACAAAAAAATATACAATGAAAATGCACAATATTTCACACATACAATGTATAATTAAATTGGAGTAACGGTTATTTTTTTATTAAAACATTTATGAAAATAATAGTTTTTTAAAATATTAATTATTTTTAATATCAACATATTATATAATCTGAAAATACTAAAAAATATTAATTTAAAATGAAAAATAAAATTTAATTTTTTTAAAACATTTTTAAAATATAAAAATAAATAGCCCTAAATCTTTAACACGAGAAAACAAATCAAACAATTGTTAGAGACACCAGGATAAAAATAACTACCAATTTTTTCCACGTTTTATCCTTTCTCCTAAATTTATTCAGGAAGACAGGAGGTACTATTTTAGTGGAGATGGATTTTAAATTTTTTTGAATGAAAAGGATGTAAACCTGTTTCACTCTTAACTGTTGATGTATTTAAATTTTGAAGGGGAGTTTGACCCCACATTTCAATAGGAGTGTTAAAAAATTTGAATTTTTTATTTTAAAATAATTTTTTTATTATTTCAATATAAAAATAATTAAAAAATATATTATTTTAACATATATTTTTTTTTTAAATAACTAAGTCTACAAAGTAAGTATTGAACATATTATTTTAACATATATTTTTTTTAAAAATAACTAAGTCTACAAAGTAAGTATTGCTAAAACTTTGTTGGCACCTAATAAAACTTGAATTTTTGAGATTCTAACTTGCAAGAAGCTCTATATGCTAACTCCATATGATGTGGAGGGGCATCAACTCTCATTTCTATTCCTTGCATCGTCTAGCATGAAGCTCCAACTTTGGCGTCTTGTATCCTAGGGTTGGAGAAAGTGATTGTAATCAAAATGGCCATCTGACTGATTTATTTATCACTTCTTTGCTTCCACTTTCTGGGTAGGCAGATCACAAGAAGGAAACCAAAGTAAAATCATTGAAGAGAAAGGACGATGGGGACAGGCAGTATGTTTGCATGTGGCAACTTCACATTTTGTTCAACCATTCTCGAGTTCTGCAAAAACAAACAAAGAAGTCAATTCACAATTAGTGTTTGCAACTGAGTTAATGTATTTATACATATAATTTATTAGGCTAGAAACTTAGTTAATTTCGAGCCCCACATCTTTAACAGAAGCAAAATAATTGAGGTCTGCAAACTGGCAGCAGTGACTGTAACTTGGTGCCAACACCATGAAAGAAAACTACTGCCTGAACAATATCAGAACAGCTGAGGTGGGAAAATAAACAACGAATCCTAAAAAGGCTAAAGGCAAAGTAGAGACTTGAGTTACAAGCTTCGAAGAGATAAAAAGGATCGGTCTGACTCGTGTCTAGCATGCCATGGCCACACATGTCTCTCATGGATCACCATGCCTTGATACCCCTCATGCACACAAGCAAAGATAAAAAGCCAGTTATCATAACCACCAAAAGCCCCCTCTCCCTTGCCATTCCCCACTTTCTCAAGCACTCAAAACAAGCAGAGAAAGAAAATTGAAGGAGTCTCAAACACAGAGGGGCTACTTACCTTTGTGCTCTTAGCTATGAAAGTTCCAGTTCCCTCACCACAAAACAGCAGCTGCAACAACCAATCTCAAAACCCAAAACCAGTGTCTTGCAACAACACCAACAATAACAGCCGAAACATCAGCTTTAACCCCAACAATCAAAACTTGTGCTACGAACCCACTTCGGTTCTTGACCTGCGTCGAAGTCCAAGTCCTGCACGAGCTGGCAAACCGGCCTCAGCAAACGATCCTATTGAGTGGGATGATCATGTCTTGCAAACTTTGGATTGGGATTCTATCATGAGAGATTTGGACTTCCATGATGATTCTGCTCCTGCCCTCATCAAGAATTTTCCACAGTTCGGTCCCTGCAGTGAGTCTCAAATCCAAAGCCATAACCTTCCTGAGTTCACTGCATCTCATCAGATGGATGCTACCCAGTTTCTTCACTCTGATTTTAACGATATGTACATTAATTCTATCCCAACTCACAATTTGACTTCTCTTGATTTGTCCCATAGTTTTCATAACAATATTGGAAATTGGAATGCTGGTTTTGATTTCATTCAAGAGCTTATCAAAGCAGCAGATTGTTTCGACACGAACGAGCTACAACTTGCACAAGCGATATTGGAACGGCTCAATCATCGACTTCAATCACCAATTGGTAAACCACTCCAAAGAGCCGCTTTTTTCTTCAAAGAGGCTCTCCAGTCTCTCCTTGCTACCGGATCAACTCGGCCGCAAACAAATCCTGTAATCCCTTCGTGGTCCAATATTGTCCAAACCATTAAGGCCTACGATGCCTTCTTCAGGATCTCTCCAATCCCCATGTTCGCTGACTTCACCACCAACCAAGCTATTCTTGATTCCCTTAATGGAAATTTAGTGTTTCTTCATGTCATAGACTTCGATATTGGATTTGGCTGCCACTATGCTTCTTTAATGAGGGAACTTGTAGACAAAGCAGACTCGTGCAATAATCTCACGTCTCCGCTTCTTCGAATCACTGCTGTTATAACAGAAGACACTGTGATTGAAACCAAATTGATCAAAGAAAGACTCTCTCAATTCGCTCATGAACTCAAGATCAGACTCCATATAGAGTTTGTGCCTTTCCGTACTTTTGAAATGCTATCTTTCAAAGCAATCGAGTTTGTTGATGGAGAGAAAACTGCTGTTATCTTATCTCCAACAATATTTCGCCGTCTAGGTTCAACAAATAATGTTACTACGTTTGTTAATGATGTCCGCCGAGTTTCACCAAGTGTAGTCATAGTTGTGGACAGTGAAGGGTGGACAGAATCTGGAACTGGATCGTCTTTTAGGAGGAACTTTGTTGATTGTCTTGAATTTTATTCAATGATGTTTGATTCCTTGGATGCAGCAGCTATTACTGGTGGCGATTGGGCTAGGAAAATTGAGATATTCCTGCTGAAACCCAAGATTTTGGCAGCAGTTGAAGGGTGCGGAAGGCAAGCAGCGTCGCGATGGAGGGAGGTATTTGTTGGGGCAGGAATGAGGTCAGTGCAATCGAGTCAGTTTGCTGATTTTCAAGCCGAGTCTTTGTTGGGGAAGGTGCAAGTGAGAGGTTTCTATGTGGCAAAACGGCTGGCTGAGTTGGTTCTTTGCTGGAAAGAGAGGCCCCTTATTGCTACATCTGCTTGGAAGTGTTAGAAACAAATGGCGATCTAGAAGTTGATTAGGTTGTTTTTTTGGGATGTAATGATGAATGTATCCCAAAACTATATAGTTTCTTACTTTTGGTAGTTCTCTCTTTTCTGTTGGTGTCTTGCTAGAAAGAAAGAATGGGGCTGAGTTTCTCTAGTCATTCTCTAGGTCTCTCTTTTGTATAAATTGCACAGAACTTTTGCCTGTTATCAAAAGATCTGTAGAAATATAAATTGAAAGGGATAATCCCAATTAGAGAATCATAATCTGCCATTTCTCTGTTCCCATGATTACTTTTTTGCATGAAGTGTTTCTGACTGAAAAACAAGTCCTTAATGGTCCAAGAAACCATATGAAATGTGCAATCCAAACCTCCAAGAGCTTCACCAATTTACAGCAGAAAATCTCCTGGCCTCCATAGCTGACTAAACCACAAGAGACACCAGTACTTTCATAATACCAAGAAAAGCCACCCGCTAAAATCAAGTGGCACAGAACAGCAGCAAACGAAACCAGAAGGCCTCAATCCGAGCTTGATCATCATTTACTGCCGCTACCAATTTAGAAAATCCAAAACTCAAGGCTTCCAGCCGGCAAAAACCCTCAACAGATTTGACAAAAAACCAGAAAGCAGGGAGGGAAACAGAAGCATAGAAAGAACAAAACTTGATTTTCTACTGATTTTACCCTTTTATAATTTTATTTTTATGAATTCTGTTTTATTCTCCTACTATATGTTTGTATAACATTTTTGTGTCCTTCCCCATTCCTTACAATGGGTGTCAATAATCTATGCATGTACATCAAAAAAATACATTTGAAAATTTAAAAAATGATAACAAAAAAAAAAGAAAAAAAGAAGGAAGGTTGGCACCTGAATGAACACGGCATGAAAACAGCCATGCCAAGTCTGTCAGCAACCAAAAAATAGAATCCATTTATTCGAAAGAGAACAGCCAAATTTAAGAGATAAATTCAAGCCCTGGTCACATCAGCATGGTAATATCCTTTTAAAATAAATAAAAATACAAAAATCGTAGAAAATTAACGCAAGAATAATTTCTCAGTGCAGAAAGGAATCTTAAAACATGAAAAAACTGATAATTATCAAAAAGATAGAACTCTTACCCATAAAAAATTAAAAAAGAGAGAGGGAGGACATGAAAAATAAATAAATGATAGGGTGGTATTCTAATAAAATAGGAATAATATCAATTAAACAAAAAACTCGAACATATTTAAGCCAAAAATTAGAAATTAGTTTTATTATGTTTGGAAACTTCATATTTTTGGAAAAAGAAAAAGAAAAAGAAAAAGAAAACGAGTATTAACAGATCATTTCATCTATCTCCTTCAACAGCAAGAACACGAGTATTAACACAAACATACCATCACTCCTTTCCATCACCTCCTCCTTAACTAGCTCCTTCAATATCCTTCTCAACCTTCGCAAAATGAGCTGCTTCCAAGGCTTGCGTAAGAGCCCCTTCAACGGCCTTCTTAGCTTTTTCAGAATTAGCAGCTGCATAACTATCAACATTTTTCTCTTGCCTGCTGTTCAACAAAAAAGAAAAAAAAGAAAAAAAGAGAAAAAAGAGGCAAGTATTTATTATGCTTTTTTTTTTTTTAATTTATAAACAGCGGATATTAACTGGAGAAAAGAGGCTGAAATACCAAGTGAAATAACTATATTATATTTAAAATCAAAATGAGTTAAACTAGTATTTATAGAATTTTTTGTATTTTTATCTTTGTTTTTTTATAGTAATAATCAGGTTAATTTGAAGACAATTTAGTATTTTAATAAATATAAAATATAATTTAAAAATAAAAAGTGGTTTATTATTGCATCAAAGGCACCAGTGTCCGGGCTAGCTTGCGCGTACCACGACTAATCCCACGAATCCTAAAGTTAACGACCATGTAAGCATTCAGTGGCCATCATATGAGTAACCAAAGACTCGAACCTGAGGGGCTTGGCCTAGCGGTGGCAGGAGCCAAGCTCCTTCCATCGCACATGGGTTCGAGTCCTGGTGTGCACGCCTGTCACCCCCGCGGTGCCTTACATGCCTACTGGGCTTGCAGGGTGTTCAGTGGGCCGTGGGGATTAGTCGTGGTGCGCGCAAGCTGGCCCGGACACCCCACGTAAATCAAAAAAAAAAAAAAAAAAAAAAAAAAAAAAAAAAAGACTCGAACCTGAGACCACAGAGGGAGCAAACTCCTTAGTCCCAAATCTTTACCACTTGGTCACCACCTAGATGGTTGAAGACAACCTTTCTTGATATGATTAATACTATCTTGGCATCCTCTCGCTTCTTAAATGTCACATGTAGCTTATTAATTTCTGGTTTGATATTAAGGGCTTTATTTTTCTCTTGATTTCTGCCCCTGACCCTTTAAATTTTTAAAGCATCATTCAATTTATTTTTCCTTTAAATCTGGTTTATTTTTTTTATTATTTATTTTATTTAAAATAATTTATAAAACTATAAATTTTTTTCAATATTATCCTCAAACTTTTTTATTTGTGATATTTGATTCTTATTTTTTATTATATATGTCTAATGGATATAGTTATAATCTATTTATATAGGTGAATTGATAATGATGTTTATATAAAAATTCCTGAAGAATTTAAAATGTTTGAAGTATATAATTCAAATCCTCCAAAAAGTTTACTCAATCAAGTTACAAAGATCTTTATATAGGTAAAAACAGTTAGGATGTATATGATATTATGATCTTAGTGAATATTTATTAAGAGAAAAGTATAATAATAATCTTATATACCTATGTGTTTTTTTAAAGAAATCAGAATTTGATTTTGTTATTATTGTTGTGTATGTTGATGATTTAAATATTATTAGAACTCATGGAGATATACCAAAGACAATAAATTATTTAAAGAAAGAGTTTGAGATGAAAAATTTGAGAAAATTAAAATTTTATCTTAGCCTGCAAATCGAGCATTTAGCAGATGAAATTCTCATTCATCAATTAACTTACACAGAAAAAGTCTTTAAAAGATTTTATATAGATAAAACACATCCATTGAGTACATAAATAGTTGTTCAGTCACTTGATGTTAAAAAAAATTCTATTAGACCTTGTGAGGATAATAAAAAATCACTCGGTCCTAAAGTATCATATTTCAGTGTAATTGGTGTGCCAATACATCTTGCTAATGATACACAACCTAATATAGCAAGACATAGTTCATCTCTTACCTATAGATATTGGAATGAAATTAAACACTTTCTTTTGTTATTTAGAATGAAATATGGATATAAACTTATTTTATTCAAATAATTCTAATTATGAATTAGTTGGATATATTGATGCAAAATTTTTATATGATTTATATAAAGGTCGATCTGAAATAGGTTATAATACTACTATATCATGAAAATCTACAAAACAAATATTAGTTGTTATTTCATCTAATCATGTTGAATACTTGCAATCTATAAAGCCAGATGTGAGCGTATGTGGCTGATATCAATGACTCAGCATATTCATAGAATATGTGATTTATCTTTTATGAGAGAAACTCCCACCATTCTGTATAAAGACAATATTACATGCATAACTCAATTAAAGAGAGAATACATCAAATGAGATAGAACATATCTCACCAAAAAAAATTTTCATACATGACTTTAAAAAGTATGGTGACATTGATGTTTAACTTGAAAGATTATCTAGTAGATTTGTTCACTAAAATATTACGAACTACAATGTTTGAAGAATTGCTACAAAATATTGGAATAAAATAAAAATTTGAGATGATATATTCATAATGAAGAGTTAATACACAATACACTTTTTTTTATTTTAGTCTAGGTTTTGTCCTATTAGATTTTTCTAGCAAGGTTTTTAATGAGAAAGTTTTTAATATGTAAGGCTATATAATAGACATTTAAAAGGGAGTATTATAAAATCATACAATGTATATAAATATTTAAGTGTCTTTCTACACCCTTTTATTATAATGTTTATTTATTATCATAAAGTTTATTTAAATTTTTCAAAATTTATTTAAATCTACATCTTTTTATAACCTTTAAAAATATTAATGTGCATGTGCTTATAAATACAAATATTGTTAAGAGAATATAAGATACACATATATAACTATAAATTATTAAGAAATAAAAGTTTTTTTTTCATCCCCTAATTTTCTTGTTCTTATTATTTTATTTTATTTTTATTAATTATATTATTTTATTATTAGATGCTTCGTGATAAATATTCTTATAATATTTTTTAATTTTTTTATGGAGTTATAGATGTAATTTTTTATGGAGTTATAGATGGAATTAAATTTCCATCAATATTTTCTTAAAAAAAACATAAATTGAATTCTTTTCAGAAAAACTATTTTATCAGTAATTAGCACCAATTCCCGTCCATAAATAACGATTTTTATACTATTTAATTATATTTTATCTTATAAAGACTAATTAATTAATTTCAAAATATAAACTATTCAGTCGTTATCTTTATCAAACATGATAGATGGAAGTTTTTTTTCTCACTATTTCTCGCAAAATTCAAGATAATTTTGAATTAATATTTTAAAAATAATTATAGTGTTAATTAAAATCAGAACATGAATTAAAATTTTAAACTATAAGATAAAGTATACAACTTTTTTAAATATAATTCTTAATTAACTTCTATAGTATTAAATTTTAGATTTTATTTTATTTTTAAAATTGTCACATATTAATTCTTTTATGCCCAATGCACATATGCTTGATAGGTTAACAGATAACCTTAACTGAATTTATAATAATAAAAATAAAAGATAGAATCATAGTTTTTAAATCTAATTGGATGTTAATCTAAGATAAATTTTGGATTAGGTGGTTTACCCGATTAATTTAGCTTAACTAATTTTTTTGAATTAAAAAATAAAAATAATATTATTTTTTACTAAGTTTTTCCTGACCTAAACGAGTTACGAGACTATTCAGATTTTTAATCAAATGTTATCACGTTAATTTTATTTTTTTATTTTTAACCTGGCAAGACTCAGATCTCGAATCACCGAGACATGGGTTAACACTCAGGTGAAGTTTTAATCTATAGGTAAATTGTTAAAATAACAAAAAAATCTACCCAAGGGCAAGATCGAAAAGAAACCAAGAGTGCATGGACAAAAAGTGCCATAAACCCTATTTTCTTGCCCAGCACTCAGTTTCACAACTTAAGAAACTCTCTGCTTCGATTCCTTCCAGGAATGGCTTTTTTGGGATCCAACGTAGCGAACGAGGTTAGCAATTACAGTAGCATCCTGATTTTCTTATGTTTTACACAAAAAACTAGCATCTGTTACGGTTTCGATTTTACTATTGTTTTACGCAATTAATTTATCAGTCATTAAATCCCATTAATTATCCAATTTTGTAGCTTTTATGGATATACGGATCTATTTCATTCGATGCTTAAGAGAACAGACAAAATTAACTGTAATTGAATTGAAGAAGCTGATTTCATGATTTAGATGCCTTAAAATTATGCTAGCTGTTGTGGGCCATTACCGGTGCAGTATTAAAAATTATATGAATTGATTAAATTTGGTGAATGAACTGCAATTGAACCTTATTTAGGAGGCATGTTGTCTTCTAGAGGGATCTAGTGTCTCAAAGGGTTATGGAATGTTTAGCCCATGATAGAATTGAATGCGGGCGACCGGTGGTGAAGCTAGGGGTAGTTTGAAAAGAGGCTAAAAGAAAGGGGAAGGGTCTATAAGGGTGTTAAACTGAAGGGTAATTGAAATGGGCTAGTCCCATTTTTTGGATGGCTGTTTTGTGAGCACATCTGCCCACTGTCGGATGGGGGGCGGTTCATGTAGCCAACACCACCTAGTTATGGGTTGAGGTTGTGGATTTTGCATAAATCCTTGTGTGTTTTTAAATAATTTTGTGTTTATGATTTTTTATTATGTGAAGCAGGTCGGGTTGCGGTTACTTCTTTGCCCACTTGGATCTAACATTGTAGTAAGAACAGCATGGTGAGTTTTGATTGATGGATGTTTGATAATTATAGTTTTCATTTTGGCATCCATGTTGATATATATCTCTTTTAGTACTTAAGGTGTGAATAATTTTTTGTTCCAGATGTCTATCTAGGATTCCAGTTTTGGGTTTTGGATAGCCGCTATCTATTGTTTCACCCTGTTTTTCATCATTCGATGCCAGAAGATGGTAGCAATTAACTTGATTTTTTTCCCCACTCATGCAGCTGTTCTGTGGGGATTGTCTTACCTGTCTACAATACATTCAAAGCAATTGAGAGAAAAGATGAAAATGAGGAACAGAAGTGGCTAATGTACTGGGCAGGTTCGAGAGTTTCTGTTTCTTAGGTTTTCTTTCTCATCCTTTTTCCCATGGAAAATTTGTTATTGGTTCTCAGAAACAAATAAGTTATCGGTGCCTTTTTTTTTTAAATTCTTTCAACCTACTTTTAAGGCAATGACTATCTTCATTCTATTCTTCATAGAGTAAAATTTTCCCTACTTGTGTCCTATAATAGCTATTCAATTCTAATTTCCAGTTTTCAGTATGTCTGTTCCCTTTCTTTTGAATGTTTACATGGGTATTGAGGTAGGAAGAAACAAATAAGTAAGACCTTGTGTTTGTATTGTGTTTCATGCCTTTTACTGTGTTGCAAAGTGGACGTGGAATCTTGACGCACCGCACCCTCTACTTTATGTCTGGCATTAATTGAGCAGTCAATCAAAGCAATGCATATCTACAGAGCTTATGATACATATTTGTGCGGTGCTCGACGTTTGATAATTATGCCCTTTTATTATATTTTGTTTTGTTTTGAGAGATGGTTGTAGTTGGGGACCCGCTTATCTCTTGGCATTGTTATTCATACTTCCTGAGTATCTTGCTATAATTGCAGCATATGGATCTTTCACCCTTGCTGAGATTTTTACAGACAAGTTGATCTCTTGGTAAGTTCTGAACCCTGAGTTTTTAGTTCTGAAGTCTAAATCATCTGATTTGGTTCCATAGGACTAGTTCTTTCTAATCTTGTAAATGCTGCATAGGACTTAAAAATATTCCATCTAGGAGTTAAGAGATACGTAGCATGCATAACTTGTATATCTATGTATTTATTTATTACTTTGATTAGTCCTTGATCATTGTTTATCTTTCTCCAGGTTTCCGATGTATTATCACATGAAGTTTGCTTTTCTGGTGTGGCTTCAACTTCCATCTGCTGAAGTAAATTTTGATCCTAAACTCCTTAATTCTCCTTAGATAGAATTGAGTCGTTTCCTCTGATTGAATATCCTCAATCTTATGTCATTTTATACATGTCGACAAAATAAATCTAGCTTGTGTATTGGTTATCATTTGTTAGGAGCTAGTGATATATTCATCACATTGGCATTTTGTGGTGCCACATCTCTATTATACACAGCATGATGAAGTATATTTGATCAAGACATGGGATGAACCTATACTGAAATTGAATATCTTACTTTCAAACAGGGGGCTAAGCAATTGTATATGAACCACCTGCGTCCATTCTTATCGAGGCATCAAGCTAGAGTTGATCTGATTATGGGCATAGCATATGGTGAAATGGTATGCACTCTTTATTGTTATCAAGTTTAGGACATTGTAATTTATATGAATTCTTAACTCTGAAGTGCATTCATGTCCATTTTCCAATTTACTTTAAGATGGTTCAAGACCAACGACTTTTTCCTATTCTGTTCCCTGTAATTGATCAAAATATTGCATGTAGACTGCATCCTTTTTGTTCTGATTTTCATCTTACATGTGAAAATGCAAATTTAAAGTGATCTGATTTCTTCAATTTTGCAGGTCAAACTCATCAGCAATCACCGAGCAGAACTTCAATATGCTAAGAGAATGCTTTTGAAGGTTATGGGATCAGGTTTGGATGATGTTGGCACTTGTTTTAGTTTGTTTGTTAATGCTACCGATCTCCATTCTGGCCAATCCTGAAACTTTGCAATCTTTCTCTGAACCAGCTGACCAAATGTTAAAGGATGCCCCTAATCACCCAGAAGGGCATCCTGAAGTCCCTGCCATTGAAGAGCAGACAACAACAATCTTGGATACTGAATCTTATCATGCTGATTGAAACTCTGTCCTTAACCATTCATGTGCCCAATTTCAAATCCCTGACAAAGGATTAAGAGCTCTCCCATCCATCATTGAGGCGTTATCATTCAAATTCTCAATTCCTTTCATCATAGTTTGCTTCCCTTACCAATCAGCTGAGGAAAACCTATCTTAGACTCCAGTCAATATGTTGCTTATGAGCTTAGATTTTTCAACAGGATCACGGAAGTTGTGCTTACACTTGTATGTAAGAATAAGATAACTAGATTAGCACCTAGCCTACCGAAAAGCTAAGAAATAAAAATATGGTTTGATTTTTGTTCATTTTCTGTACCATGTCAGGTTTTCGATAAAAAAAACATGTAAATATATTAAATATGAAACAACAATTCAAAAACAACACAGACGATTGCTGCTTGTATTTGTTGTTTTAATAATTGCCAGGATTACTCTCGAGTATTCAGTATAAGAGTCATCATCTGTGATTAGACGCCCAACTTTGTGCTGGAATCTACCAGCCGTGCTCGATCTTGAATTTGCAATGTAAGGCGAATCTGTAACTAGACAATGCTTTATCATCCAGCTGTTATTTCGTTTAATGAAAGAATATGTTCTGAACGGTTAACATCTCGCATTGGATTGTTAAACTTTGTTTGCACAGAAAGCTGAGGTCTAATAATGCACAAATTCCAGATTTCCTAAACAAACTAACTAAGCCAACATCGGATCTTGATGATTTGGAATGAAAAGCAGAAGCCATTTCCTCACTTTCCAGGTTATGTTTGCTAGAATTATAAGCTAACATTAAGACTCCCCCTCAAGGAGGCGGAAAAAAAGAGGTTCCTTTTTAACCAGAGAAGCTGATTGAACTTAATAATCCAACAATGCTCATGGATTCATTAAGGTTACTAGCTCCGGTTAAAATTTTGTAAATAAATTTTTCTATAACAAACTAAAGGGTTAAAGGTATGGATCAGTATGGAAAGCCAATGTTCTATGTTCGACTAATGGTAGTCATAATATACGGGAGGAATTCACGAAAATATTCTTCCAGTTCCGGATGCCAAGTTATGTCTCAGTCTTTACTGTCAACTGTCTCCCTCATCACCATGAGACTCCGGAACCGAAGCAGGGTTGCTCTGTTCAAGTTTAGCTACAACTTCTGGTCCATACAACCGTGTCAACTCCTCCTGTTATGACAGCAAACCCACATTTGTTAAATTAGTGGTGTCATGTACTGATTAACTTCTAGCAAGGATTTCATTACCCTGTTTTATGATTAGGAAAACAAAAATAAATATTAAGTAACAATGGCAAAGATGCTAATGTTGCACGTTCCAATCACTAAATAAATTAGAAAGGGCTTCAAAAAAAGTCCAGTGACAAAAATGAACCTTAATGGAATCATTTTCGGATTTAAGCTTATTGCATTCTTCAGAGAGACTCTGCAATTCATTTCTGAGATTGCTATTGTCATTGCTCAAATTCTGTACCCTGGCTTGTAGCTCCTCGCACTCTGCCTGGTAAAGATGAAAAATCAAAGCAATAGATATAAGCATATTTTAACAGGAGATTAACAACAGCAAATGTTTCCCAAAATTTACATCATGTCGAACAACAATGCAAAGAAGCTTTCCTTTCTTTCCTTTTATATTAAAAGAATGATAACAAGCAAGTTCTAATTTGGACCTTGAACTATGAAAGGGCTCTTAAGGATCATGGGGCTTTTACACCGTAAAAAAGTTCTTAAGCTGTTGAGCTCTTTTTTTAGGCCAATGAAAAGGTAGTGAAATTATTTCAAGACATGTTAAGTGTACTTAAGACTGTTGCCGTGAAGGTGGACTTCTATTCATAAATTTCTATTTGATTTAGAGAATCATCCTTCACTACTGAGTTTGATAAAGAAAGTTTAAGTAGCCTGTTTTACCACCGAGCTATCACTCCAGATCTAAATAAAAGAAGTGGGAGATCCGGCATCTGTACTGGCACTAACAATGGTGAAGAAATAAGCAAACACTCAATGACAAGAAAAGGCACAAACTACAACAGTACCTGTTTACGTAATCTGGACCTTCTGGCTGACTCTCTGTTAGATTGTTTCCTCTTCTGTCTTTTCAATTCACGTTCATCCTGTCAGAACCCAAATCTATAATTCAGTGTAAGAAAAAGGAATCCAGATAGCCTAATATCTGCGCGGACAAACAGAAAACAGCCTCCTGTAAATAACACCCCTTCTTTATCATTCTCAAAAACAAATTGAACTGTACCTTGTGAGATACGAGAAAGCCACTGAGTGTATGAGTTTTTCACAAAATTTGAGTTATTAGAAGTTAAAAATAATAATAAAAAACAGAACACAGCACAACATGAACATGAAAAAAATGAAATACAAACCTAGTGATTAGACCATACAGCAAAATTTGACTTTCAGAAACTGAATTTTACTACATGATTAAAAAAAAGGCTCAAGACTGATACAAGAAATGCAGCGCTCATACTTGAATCCACTGTTCAGGCATTCCAGCAGGAACAACTCCTGATGTGGCACAAGATGGATTTGGTCTTATTTTTGTAGCTCCGGCAGCAGAAGATGCATTCCATAAGTCCATCCCAATGTTTAAATTAGTTGCAGGCATAGACACCACAGGTTTCCCAGTCACAGAAGCTTGTATATTTGCTCCAGCTGAGGTACTTTGTGCATTGGCTGTGAAGAAAGTCAACATGTTAGCAAGCTATCACAGCAAACAAACAAAAACAGGTAGAGAAAAAAAAAGAGAAGAGAAATGTACCATCTGCAAGCATCTGGTTGAAGCTTCCCTTCTTGCTTGCACCATACTCCTGGAATATTTAGGCAGGTATTCATTAAATAAAAGATAAATCATCAAGTAAACACGCTTTCTATTGGCTAGTTTAGCATAGAAAATTGCAATTCCAAAAATATCCAGGGCGTCTGGATTTCTACAGCATGAACAAACTAAATAAAACCAGTTTCTGGGATAGGTCACCTATGCTTCTACATGATATTCATCATTCGCACTAAGCAATAAGAGCACACAGAAAGCAAATAATGAGAGTGCACAGAAAAATACCTGCTGGTTAGTATTCTCCTCACTGGCATCAGATGAGCCATCACTACCACTTTCAGCACTGTTCAGTTAGCATATATGTCAATATCACAAGAATTGAATGTATAAGCATTTCAAAGGGAAAAATCACCAATAAACTTAAGGTTAATTAACCTTTGGGAGGCACCATCATTTCCAGAACCAGAAGCTGCCTTTCCGCTCTCCCCTGCTTTGCCTCCAGAAGTTCCCTTGGCTTTTTTAGCTGAAGCACGGCCCTTTCCATTCGGGACCTTTCCTTCCATCTCTATATTTGCCTGGGCTGAATTTGGTGTCTGCAAGAGAGATGATGAATAAGAAATATCATATGACCAAATAACAGGCAGGAATTATAGAATCCTATGAGTGGGAAATAGTAATATTTGGCTATGGTTCTAGAAGGGAATTCATCCACGCACACACACACAAAAGAAAAAAAAATCTTGCATAAGAAACACCAAGTATTACCGGGGCCATGTTTGGATGAGCATACACACCTCCTGCAGGATATAAAGCCGGGTATGGAACTGGAGTTCCGTAGGGTGGGATTAAAGGATGCTGAAAATTGTCAACAGAACAAAAAAAAAAAAAAACCTAAGTGGCTTCTCCGTCAGATAAGGGTAACTGACATGCTTTTCTCAAACAATAGGAGATATCCACCTGGCTTCCCCATAGATAGGGGTGAGAGGCTGGTGAGGCTACAGTTGAGGCAAAAAAGGGAGGCGGGGTAGCTCCAGCACCATAATAAGCCTAAAACAGAAGCCGAGTTATGAGCATTTAACGTTTTTTCTGCAGATATTTATATCAATATGAATTTTATAAACATAAACCTGCATAGAACTTGACCAATCAGGATAAGAAGGTGTTGTGGGTATTTCCTGTATACACAATGAAGAGGGGTTAGTACGCTTGCTGGCATGTGAATCTTTGTGCATGTGTGTTTGTACAATCGTGTGTGTGTGTGTGTGTGAGAGAGAGAGAGAGAGAAAGGGAACCTGATTTGAAGATGTGGGCTTGGAAGGCTTAGCAGGAGTGCTTTCTTCCCCTGTCCCCATAGATCAAATTCAGTAAATACGACCAACTTCAACAATTTATATTTAGATCTAGCGTATCCTGAACAATATCTACAAAGCACCTGCCAATATCATATCAGATTACAACCCATATCAGGAATTATATGCAATTATTGTGAAATTAACTGTCATTGTCATACATGGAAGCAATGATCTTAGTGTTAAACATTAACAGAAAGTGTACAGCCAAAGCCACCAATGCACTGAACCAATGTACAAAATCTTCCACATGGAGATGGTCATCAAGTTCTTACATCACAAGCAAAATATATAGCGATAGTCCCTAATGACTTGGAAATAGCCAAGGGTCCTTAGCTAAAATGCTTGTTTCTAGCTTGCTACCCCTCCTGGGATAATTTTTTTTAAAAAAAATCAGGGTTAGCCGTGCAATTAAAAGATCATGCTATCAATGGCTTCCCCACATATAATGCGTTTCCTGTGACATTTTGGTGAAAATAAAAAAATCTATGATTACGAAGAAAACTTTAACATATTGAATTACAAAACAACTCAACAAAGCCATAAATCCCAACCACATATATATGGCCACGGTCACAAGTCTTTGTAGGTGAAGTTCCCTTTCAGATCAATTATGTCTCTGTCACTGTACTGACCATCTAATCCATTTCAACATTTGTAAATAACCTTCACCACCTAGTATAAAATAATACAGCCTCATAGTAATCTCATAAATTTCCTAACAATCTAGACCAGGGCTGAACTACAATATACTTTCAAAAGTAACCCTGCTCCATCCATATTGGCTGTGAATATTTTTACACTCCTTGTGGACAATAAGTTATCAATTTAAATTACCAACTATGATTTATCTCTCCATCCATCTATCTGCAAATCACTTTGCTCAAATCCAATACTTTAAAAAAGATATTGAAAAAACAGTGGAGAATCATTTAAAGATTCAGCCGCAGGCAAAGGAAACATCATTACTGGAAATACAAGTTTATATTATGCCCATTTTCCCAATATATTAGCAAGCACTTCTTAAGCAAAAATAAAGCACTTGAAGTGTCCAAAAACAACAATCATTCACTTAAAAACTTGCAGGTGTGTCCCTGCTATTCTAAGCTTCACAAACATCAACGCAGATGCCATATTTGCTTATCAAATGGCCATCAGTAATT